TAAAGAAAATAAGAAAGGCAAATAATATATTTAGTTACACCTAATACAAGATGTTAAGCTAGAGAAGAATAACAGGAGATAAGGAAATAAAATGGATAGAAAAAAGAAGAAAACTTGAAACTACAAGATAAGATAGATGAACTCGAAGGGATGACGATAAATTAAAAGTGATAAATGAAGCGGAATATATTCAAGAGATAAAAACAAAACACCATTAAAAGCTGTAACAGTTATACTTTCAGACCAGAAGAATAAGATGAGAGTATAAGTAAATGAAAAGATATGGAACATTTAAGGACATTAGATATAGCATTGCAAAGAAAGGACAAGATCATACATGATCTATCACAAACGCTATCATACTTTGAGAAAAATATATTTTTTATCTTTCTTAAAATCTTTTTTAAGAAGGAAAAATGATTTCAAACAAGAACAAAAGAAACTTTCAATCATTTTTCTTGCCTTAAATCGCAGTGTAAAAATAAAGATGAAAATTTGGGGAAATTAGGATTACATCAACATGGATTTTAGCAACAGGTTTGGAACCATGCAGGATCTTAATCCTACTACAGAATTTATCATCAATACTTTTGCGACATAAATTCCTGAAGATGGATTTCTAATATCTTCTTTGGAATTTTGTAAATTTCTACCAGAATAAAATATCCAAAATTAAAGCTAGTGGTTTGTTGAATGACTTGACATATCTCATAGCTGTGTATCCTTATATTCTAGAATGAAGCTGATAAAAAATAAACAGTATTCAATGTTATAGCGGATTGTAAAGACAATACAATGAACGAGCATACCTTGTTGTCGCGAATTGAAACGTTGCTCGTCACCGTGTGTGTCTGATTTGACGTGTAAGACATTTCCTTGCGGAAGTTGACCCTCTAGTTGTTGGCGCGAGGTTCGCCGCTAACGGTTGCTGCGATGCTGATGATGATGTGATCATGTGACACTGTATGATTTACTGCTGTATCTCTGTTCACTTGATCGTCCAATGCTCGTGATCCGGCTCGAAGGACCAAATGTTACGACCGTTCGCGTAGAGACGCGATCGCGAGGGAAACATGTGAGCGGGAGGCGTAAATTTTTGCTACGATTATGATAATCGACGCCGCGAATTAGTCGTTCCCCTGTTTCGTTTAGAATAACAGAGATAGTTCAAATGATTTTAACTTTGAATTAACAGGGTCAATATAAACGTGCATATTTAACAATATTTAAAGTTATAATGAATACGTCACAAATGATTTAACGATGATACAATTAGTTTGTTACAGTAATTTGACCCGATTTTATGATATTTCTCGATGTATTCGTTAAACTAAGCGACATTGATTTTATTCGTCTGAACCTTTCGATGCATCCGTTTGAATCCTCATTTGCCACTGACTGCCCTTCCATTTTGTCCTTTGTCTTCTCTGAGATACGACCCCCACTACGCTCGGATCACGCCACCGTTCGCGCCTGTGATCACGTATACCACCTTCTTTATGCAGATAAAATAACGCACCGAAGGCGAATAGATGTTTCTGGAACTCGCTGCTTGACGACAACTATGCGTTTATCGCTACTTTGTGTATATCTCGACGGTCATGTAAGACGATCTGTTTGCGACGGTTAGGAACACGGCCTATAGTAAGCCTTGGGGCGTAATAAACGGAGAGAATAGAATAATCTACAGGATTATCAACGGTGAAGTATATAAATATACTAACGACTCAGAAAACATAATTGAAGTGAGTTGCTTAGATATGAAATTATTGTTAATAACTAAAAGAATAATAGTACAAGTTAGATTAGCAGAGAGACAAACGTGGTTGTGCAGCGAGTCTAGGAAACAGGATAAAATATAAAACAAATAAAAATGGAATATGCAATACGTCCTATCCAAGAAGATTGGATACCAACTAATGCATAATAAAAGAATGTCCGCAATATTTGGAATTAAGAACAAAATTCTTAAAATAAACAACCACCATCTTTATGAACAGAGAAAATTGATTATTGAGACTAAAGAATTTTATTAAGAAACAACATGACGCTCAGAGCATAATAACTGAAGTTATAATAACCTGAGCACAACTCAAAAACTTAGCTATGACCCTTTTGTAATAACTAACAAACAAACATTTCAAACTTAATTAATTATAAACAAGCTACAGATAATTTGAAGTTAGATATGAATAAGCTTAATAACAAAATTAAATAAATAGAATTTTTCTTATTTAAATGCGACAGTTTGTAGTACAAAACAAATTTTGTTCAGGAATAAGGTTTTCTGAAAATTTCCAGCGAAAATTTTTGCAAAAATTTCCTAAAGGAATTATAACCTATGAGATAAATGAAATAAAAATACAAAAACCAACTGATATTAAAAGAAGAATGATTATTTTACAAGATAATATGAAACTGTGTAAGGGATTACATATGTAACATATTGTCCCGATGTATACATATCTGCGAAGCGACTTACTACCCTGTATATTCCAGAAACTTCTTAGTTTGCCCCAGCCTTAGCAATTTGAAACTATTTTATTAAAATTAAGAATTTTCCACATTAGATCGAACGCACTTCTAATAGGTACCAAACAGTATATATATATAGCAAGATTTCACATATCTCTAAATTATTCACAGAAAATTAATACGGCACATAAATTAGACTTCGGATTGTAAAAATTAAGAATAAATAACCGATACAGTCTCACAAAAATAGAAGGATAAAGATAGAGATAAGGGATCAAAAACAACAGTTATTTTTCAAATTTGTATGAAAAGCCCTTAAGAAAATAAGTTCCTCCTGAAATTGAAAACAGTTATATGTATAGAAATCAAACTTGCGATAAAAGTAAAAAAGATAGAAAATAAGAAAATTGTATTTGTTTTTATGACTCACTTTTACATGTAGTATAATTTCCACCGCTATTTTAGCATAGAACGCTATTTTCAAACACGAATTGTTCCAACTCGATAGTCCCTTGCTTTACTGTAAACGGAAAATTCTTTCGTGTTCTCAACAAAATTTATCAAATTCCAGCAATGACACATGCTATGTGATTGTCAGTAGAACATGGAGAAATGTTTCCAGTAAAGTTTCGAGCGACTTATCGCCGATTTTCAGGAGACACTGCTACGATATCGCGTGTACAGTGCTTCTATCGGTGTTGATGCGCTTTAATACCTAGTGCAAGAGAACACTAATAAGATTTCCCAGTGGGCCTGTAAATCCTTATAGATCACTCAAACATATATCATATTGTTTGTTTCAACTACTAGCAATTTAAAACGTCGTCTACATATATTTAGAAAGTTAGCAAAGACATATATTTGTTCCTGAGCATGATTTCTATCAGTTGAGCGTTGTAGCAAAATGTCTGATACAATTTAATGTTGAATTTGTCTTTTTTTAGGCTAGCTTGATTGGATTACAGGTAGATCTAAACGATCCGTGTGTTGCATCTCCAAGGCATCTTCGACTCATCGATATGCAGTGATACCCGGCAAACTTCTAGTGGACAAGCGACGTTGCCTGCAGGCAGTTTATATACATGTTTTAGCATGTGTTGTCGGCAGGCAATGTCTACAGACGCCTGTGGTCTGCCCGTACGCGCCTTAAGTTTCGCTGACAGACATTGTCCGCCGATTACTACGACACCTGTCTGTGGACAATAGGCCGTCAGTGTGGAGTTATCTTTACCCGAATAATTTAAGAAATATAAGATATACTTCAAAGAAAAGTTGCTAGCTTCGATATCTTACTAATACTATGTTATCGAAATTGAATAAACCTCGTTACTGTATTTAAAAGGAAATTGCATTTATATTTCAAGTTTACAGAGACGACAACAACAACAACCAAACAAAGAATCGCAGCGAAGAAATAAACGGATACAAATAAACATAACACTGGATTGAAGATAGGACAATAAACAAGATAGAACGGGGAAAACAAGAGTAATGAAGAATCAGGGTGCAGAAAAAAACACAAAGTGTGCGAGCTGGAGAGGAAACCTGGTACTGTCGGTACAGGCTGTAAGCATACAAAATGGTTGCCGAGACGGTGCAGGAATAATCGGCTGGAGAGCCAACCTGCTGGGACCGAGCTATATGCTGGCAGCTCCGCCTTCTCGTGGCCCCCGCTGCTAACGGCGCGGCGCCATGCACGTATCGCGTGGCGTGACGCTGGCTAAGCGAGCTGCCGCCCGAAAGGGCAGGTTTAACTTGTCCAATGATCCGCAAGGAGAGGGCAAGTCGCGCGCCGACCATCTATGCGCGCCATTCCCAAGTCGAACGCGAACATCTAAATGCGAAGCCAGTATGCGTTTTTACTGCAGGTATGGCGCGGTCGACCAAAAGGTCGGGCCCTCAAACGCACACATTACTTGTACAATTCAAGTGCTGCAGATACGGAAAAGTAATTTATAATTTATCGTAATTTATCGTAATGCGAATTTTGGCGCGTCGTCATAAATAGATTTTTATTTAAAACGAAATTGTTAAATATCCTTTTGTATCAATTCACATAACGTTAATAAATCAATATTAGACATATTACTCATAAATTTCTTTGTACATATCTGTGTGCATATACGCATAGTTTTCGTGCATATATCAATATTTGTATATTTTATGTGTATAAATTTCATATGCTTTTCGCAAATTTTACATTCATAAACATCTGCAATCTATACGTTACGTTTTTCGTTGTATTTACAAGTACGGACATTAGATATTCTATTACATTCTTTTATTATAATCTTTTGATATATTTATAGTTGTTTAATTATTAGGTCATCCCATAAGTTCGTGCCGTTTTTCGAGAGGTTATATATGTTAAGATCGTTTACATACCTTTCAGTTTCATGAAAAAATGTAATCCCCCTCTCGTTGTACAACTTCTTCCCATTTTTCTGGTAGGTTTCGTCTCGATAAAAGTTCACTTGTTTTTCTTTAAAATAATTTTCTAAGCTATTTTTGAGAGTGTCAATATTTTCAAATTTTTTAGCTACTAAAAAGTGTTGTAATGCTCTGAACAGGTGGCAATCAGATGAGGCAATGTCTAGGGAATATGGGGGATGTGGTAAAATTTTCCAATTAAATTCAGACAATTTTTTTGTAACGCTTTTCGCGACATGCGGTCTAGCATTGTCGTGATGGAAGATAACGTTGTTCCTATTCGCTAAACCTGGTCGTTTTTCAGCTAGTGCTTCCCTTAATTTTTCTAACTGAGCGCAATATTTGTCTGAATTAATGGTATCACCACTAGATAAAAGTTCAAAATAGAGTATTCCTTTATAATCCTACCATACACACAAAAGAACTTTACGTGGATGTAACCCTGGTTTTGCACAGCGTTCAGGTGGCTGATTTCGTTGGGATCAGCTACGTTTCCGTTCAGGGTTTTCGCAAAGTATCCACTTTTCATCACCAGTTACCAGGGGCGTTTAAGGAATGGTTCACGTTTATTACGCGCAATTAATGACATGCACGCTGTCGTTCGTTCAAGACGGTTCCGTTCCGTAAGTTCATGGGGCACCCAAACGTTCAACTTTGACACCATCCCCATTTTTTTTAAACACCTATGAATCGTTGTCTTAGGTATTTTCAGGACATTTGACATCTCTTGAACTGTCAAACTTGGTGATTTTTCAACAAGATCCCGAATTTTATCTCCGTCTGTCTGAGGAGGACGCCCGGAGCGTACCTCCTCTTCTAAACAGAAATTCCCAGCTCTAAAACGTTGGAACCACTTCCTACAGGTGCGAGATGAAAGCGCATTTTCTCCGTGAACAGCACATATGTTCTTCGTGGCAATTGTTACCGAACTTTCTTTCCGAAATTCATATAACATGAGATGTCGAAAATGGATACGCATTTCACTCGTGATTTTTTACTGTTAGAAGTCACTGTGTTCACTATATTACGATCTTATGCCCACGAAGATCTACTCTAGCCTGTTCTCGATCAGCTAAGCTCAAGTGCATTGGTCCCTTATCGTCGTATGTTTAGAAATTGACACATGAAATATATACACAAAAACTTATGGGATCACCTAATATGTAAACGATTTTGAACTATTTAATTTAATAAAGACCTTAGATCGACGGATTTTAATTGCTGTCACATAATCGTTAATTCATTACTTTTCCTCCAACTGTCACGAATTTTCACAAAGTGTGTATTTCGGATCGTTAATCTCATACGGATGTAAACTTCATTTTCTTAATAATCTTGGTCAATCATGTATCACATTTTCTATAAAATCTATAAGATCAGCAAGTGCTCTAATACTTGTGAACAATCATATATCTTAATTCGTGCCTTTTGTATTAATACAGAAGCTTCATGCGAGAAAGAATTTTCGATATAAATGTTCTCAATGTTGTAAATCGAGTTCTGCCCGTGCAACCGAGCTAAACGGACGTGTAAAACAGTGCTTCAGAAAATGTGCGGCAAGTGGGGAAGAGAAAGTTACGAACGGTAACGCCCATAGCTAAATGGTGGAAACTCGTGTCTTCTACTAAGAAGACTACAAGCAAAACTAAAATGAAAAAGCACATCCCACCGATAAAAATAATTAACAAAGACGAACAATACTACATAAATAAAACAACAAACATATCAAAACCAAGCCAACCAATAAACGAAGAACAGGAATGCTCAGCTACAAACGAAGTTGATATGGAAACAATACCAAACAATGAAGAGAATATTACCAATAACGAATTAACCCAACAGGATGAAAGCTGGAAGGTGGCAAGTTATAATAAGAAACGAAAAATAACAGGAAATTCAGATACAGAAAAGCAGCGATGGCAGCAACAATTACCATTAAGAAACTCCTTCAGCTCACTTACGGAAGAAATAGACGACCCAACAACCAAAAACACAACTAAATCAACGCAAACTACAAAACCACCACCAATATTTGTCGACGCCCAGATAATAGACCCGCTTATTGATCGACTAAACGATATAGTTGGGAAGGAAAACTACACAATAAAACAAACAAAATTATAACAAGTAAAAATTCAAATAAACACCCCAGAAAATTATAGGAAAGTGATAAAAGAATTAAAAGAAAAAACGCTGTGTACCACACATACCAGCTCAAAACGGAAAGGATCTACGAAATAGTTATAAGAGGACTACATTGAAAAACTAACATAAAAAAAATTAAGTGACGAATTAGCAAAAATTGGTCACCAAACAAGAGCAATAAACAATATGACAAGATACGATACGAAGCATTTAACAACACACTGTCCATACGTAGGGAAAATAAATGAAGTAAAATGTTACAACTGTAATGGAAACCACCCAGCCAGCTATAAAGAATGCGAAATCAGAAAACAATCACAACGTAAACAGTTTCCACCACTTGGCAATAGATCAATCAATAACTACCAACCACAACAAAGTATAACGGATAATTAAGCAACATTGAAAGCACAAAATGAACCAAAAGCTATAAACGGAAACACCGATCCCCAAGGAAACCGCAGCTACGCGCAAGTAACCCAAAACATTAGACAAACAACGCCCACAAACAAACAGAATCAAAGCAACAACACCGAAGACGATACAGAAATCAAAGAAATGCTCAAACAATCCATTAAAGGTACAGAGATATTAAGAAAAATGGTAAGTGAGAAAAACACAATACTAAGGCAACAAGTACAACAAACAACAGTCATGTTACAACTACTCACAAACTTGCTAAGTAAAAAATAAAAATGGACATCCTTAAAATAGCAGCCTGGAACTCTAACGAACTACAACAAGGGGCCCTAGAAACTAAAACATTCCTGTATAATAATAATATCGACATACTACTCGTATCGGAAACACACTTCACTATAAAAAGTTACATAAAAATACCGTACTACACCATATATGATACCAAACACTCCTTAGGAAAAGCACACGGAGGGACCGCAGTGATATCAAACATCACTTACATAGCCAAGTAAGAAAGAAATATACCCAAGCAACCACCGTTACGGTACAAACTAGCAGCAACCACTTCCTGTTGTCAGCAGTATATGTACCACCGCGACACAAAATGGCATCACAAACGTGGGAAGAGTACTTTCAACACTTAGGTGACAAGTATATCGCAACGGGAGACTACAATGCAAACCACACGCTATGGGGATCAAGAATTACCACACCTCGAGGTAGAACCCTGGAAAAATACATTAACAACAACCTCAATATATTATCCACAGGAAGACCGACATACAGACCGACAGACCCGAGTAAAATGCCTGACCTACCCGACTTTGCAGTCACAAAGGGACTGAACGCAAATAAACTAAAAATGACACCCAGCCTCGAGCTTAGCTTCGATCATACACCTATAATAATTGCATACAGAAACAAACCAATACCTCATAGCAATCCAGAGATACTATGCAACAGAACCACCAAATGGCAAACTTTTAAAGAAATAATCGAGAGCAAAACCAACTGCAACATTCCATTGAAAACACCCGAACACATCGAACAGGCAGTAACAACATTTACAGAAACTATCCAAGAAGCAGCATGGGCAACCACTATACCTGAACCAACCAACAGACAAACAAAAACAGTTCCACTAGACATCCTCGAAAAAATTAGAGAAAAAAGAAAAGCGAAAGCAAAATGGCAAAAACATAAAAGACGAGAAAATAGAAAACACCTAAACAAACTTGCAAAGGAAATAAAAAACAAAATAAA